CTGGCTCCACATATCATTCACCCGGTTCACAAAATTTTGGAAGTCCATGTTGATTTTGTTCTTTCGATCTCTTTCTCTCTGTTCTTCCTCAATCTCATCTGGGTCATACGCAGACCGCTTTCCACCTCCAAGTGTCTGGACCACATCCATTACCTCAACATAGAACTGCACATCCTTGGTTTTCTTGTTTCCTACCATTATGTGGTTATGTAGATGGACGTGAAGAAGGGTAATCATTTCCTTCTCTGCTGGCTGAAAAAACGCATGCTTGATGTTGCCAAACATGATGTCAACCCGCTCATCTGGTCTTGAGGTTGAGTACCGGAAACCATTGACATGAGCTTCCAATGTACCTGGAAGCTTTCTTGCACGACCACCAAAAGAGGGGCGAATCCATAAGTCGGAGAGCCTAACTGGCTTGAATTTATTCCCTGCAAGTACAAGTTTTTCCTGAGTCACCAAAGTTGCCCTTTCGGCTCTCTCAGACTCCCTGGCCATAACATTCCGTCTTAGAGTTTTAATCATCTGAACTACTTCACTTATGTGCCTTGGATCCTTAGAACGAAAAGAAACTTCCTTCAGGTAAATGGCACCCTGATTCTTCAAAGCATTTGCATCAACAGGTGTAAAAGGGGCACCAGGAACATTGAAAATGATACGGATGTAGCAGTTGCGGTTGGTATCCTGCTGGCTCGACACAGTCTTAACAGTAGCCACATGGAAAGGAACCATAGTACCATATATAGGTAGAAGAATGGCTTCATTCTTCTGGTCAACCTGAATAATCATCTCCCTAGGAGGTGGTAGGTCATTAATGCTCTTATAGGCAACAAGGTCAGTTGAGGTCCTAGCAGCACTCCTATTGTTCCCAGATAAAGCCCCTCCACCAGCAAGACGACGCGCAGTTTCTTCATTCTTCTGACGGGCAAGTTCTGCCTGGTGCTGCCTCCGGAGCTCTTCTTGGTTGTTTGATCTAAGTGTTGCCTTTGAATACAATGCCTCCTTCCTATTTGACTCAGTTTTCACCTTAACCCCCTCCTCCTCCTCCTCTTCCTCCTCTTCATTGAATGAATAGGCTACGTCCTTCAAGGCTTTGGAGCTCAGCTGAGTAACCACCTCACGGCCATCGTTTGTGACAATAACTGTATCTGCCAACAAAAGTGAAAAATTCCTACTCTTTTCTTTGCTGGTCTCAGTTTGCAAATTCTGGAAACCTAGTGATACATTGAAAATCATTCCCTCCCTCAGCACCTTATCATTCTTAGCATTAAGGATCAGCCCCGACTCCCGGAACTCGAGACCAATCCCAGTCCCAGCAGATTTTGTTAGGTTGTTAATCAATTCTGGAGCATTGCTCTCAACTACTGCAAGAGCTGCTTGATACACGGCACTAAGCTTGTTTCCCGCCTTCAATGCACCAATTGCTGCCTCATGAGCTTTAAGAAGAACCTCATAAGCCTTGGTCTGCTTCAAAGTTGAATCAATAAGAAATGATCTGGCAACATTTGAACAGTAGCTGTTGTACCGCGATCCAACTGCACATATGATCACGCTGGCAGAATCATAGTACAAATGGTCATCATTGCTTGTAGCACTAGGTCTAAGATCGAAATTCCCACCACTCTGGAAGATCGGAGGGTAACATATGTCAACATTCTCAGCTTTCAGCTTCACCTTAATTTTAGCAGGTTCCAGAATAGCCTTTTCTGTATCATCCATTAATAAGGAATGAGTTACTTTCTTCTCCTCATCAATAATTTTCTCAAGCTTTGGAACAACATAGTTCTTCATTGCAGAA